CATAATTGGAAACGATGGAAGTTGTTTATGGATTAATGAATAATGTTATTAATATTCATAATGTGAAGACATTCAATTTAAAACCCATGAGGAATGTCAACAAATCTCTGAAAACTGTACAACAGATGGTATGTAATGCGTTCCAATCACATTCTGTAAAGATACTAATACTAATGGAGGATGTAAAATAGGAATAGATGGGGAATGTATTGAAATTATTGAAAACGGGATAAAACATTGTAATCAATATGAATCTTGTAAATAAATAGCATTCCAAACTCATTATTAATGTTATTCAACAAAAAATGATTGTACAACTGACGGTGTTACATGTATTTCACTAAATGATTGTAATTAATATACTTAACAAATTTCATGTTTTATTAATAGAGAAGGAAAAATAATATCTAATAAAAGAGTGCTTTCAACAGGAAAGTGTATTTGGGATATTTAAGCAAATCAATGTAAAGATTTAAGTTGTCAAGATTTAATTGGTAGGACGAATGAATAATGTGAATCATAACTTTATTCTTGTACTAGTGATGGTAAAACATGTGTTCCTAAATTTAATTGTAAATCCTTAACTAATTAAGTTCAATGTTAGATTGCTAAAAGTGATGATGGATATTGTTTTTGGTCAAATGATAAATGTGATCTAGTGACTTGTTCAAATATTGTCAAATCCTCATCAGTTGAATAATGCAAAGAATAAAATAGCAAATGTACTTACGATGGTAAATCTTGCATCTCTATTTCCTAATGCAAAGATTACAAAACATAAATCTCCTGTAATTCTTAAGGAATTGATGGATTTTGTACTTGGATACCACCTATCTCATCTAACATTACTACAACCATAGAACGTAATAAATGTGAACTAATGAAATCATGTGAATAATCTTATTTAGATTAAAATTCTTGCCTGTAAGTTAAAGATATTTGTTATTTCAAATAGGCTACAAACATATCTGCTAGTATCTGTTAAGAGCACACTTGTAGTACTTATTATGAATAAAATAAAATATGCTCATTCTTTTATAACTGGAATAAGACTCTAATAACATTATGCTAATTATAAAATAATACCTGCAATCCTATTGCAGATCCAACACTTCTAAGTTCTAAAGATTGCTATACACTTTCAGGTTACACTTATACATTCAATATAAACAAATCCAAATGTTAATCTTGTTAACCACCTAGAAAAAATATCACTGCCAATGTTTTATTTGTTTAAATACTTACTATATTTTTGATTCCATTATTATTTTTTATTTGAGATATATTAATGAATAAATGATTAATTTTTATATTTTATTAAAAAACATTCCAAATAGTTAATTCTCTTTTGTTTAATCTAGATATTTTTTTTAAATCATTCCTAAATAATTATTAAGTAAAAATTGAGAAATTTATAAAAAGATTCTAAAGTTAAATTATTAACCATTATCTAATTGTAAATTCAAAAGGCAGATTTAAAAGTAATAATATATTTTATTATTTGAATTTAAGATAGCAAAAGAGTTTGCATATTTGATATCACAATATTAATTTAATCTAACTAAGACTCTAATAAAATTTGAATTTTGAATGTTTAATTGTGTAAAATAAAAATAACTTTATTTTTATTTTCGAATAGCAATTAAACGTATGAGTTCTATAATAATAGATAATAAGAGAATAAACAATATAATATTTAAATATATATATATTATATAAAAATAAATATTGAATGAATAATTTTAATTAAACTAATCATTAAACAATTTCTACATTTCTCTATTGTAATTATCTGTTAGTTAACGCTTTGATTTCAATGGATTTTTCATATTTCATATCAGGAATTGCTTGTCTATTTTATTCAATAAATTTCATATCATGATTTTTTAAGTTAGGTAGTTCTTTTTGCAATTCATTTTTATATGCACTATATTTTTGATAATATTATAAGAAACATTCTTTCATGGCTTTCAAATCTCCAGCAGTAGCCTTTGAATAATATAAATACTAATACTTATGTAAGATCATCAACAATATATGGGAAAGGATTACTTAAGTAGGGTTCGGCCCAGGTATGTGTTTCAAGTAGAACATCAAGTAATGCCATTTTTTCTATTTAATTTTCATCTGTTTCTCCAATTCTTCTAGGTGGGATTCGAGTGGCTTCAGTATAATTAATACCTTGAGGTGCTTCAACCCAATAATTGTTGATGGGTACTAGATGAGGGATTCCAACATATGCATTAATAGTTTCACATCCTTCGAAAGCACTCTTTAACATAGCAGTAAGGTACAAATCTTTAGGTGTTTAGAATACATGTGGTAGGAAATCATAAGCAGCTTTTCTAAGAGTGATAGGTATATCATTCATTTATTTAGTTTTTTATAGAGTATATTTAAAAAGATCTCTAGCTTCTTATATTTCAAGGGTGGCACCTAGATTTAATTTATGTAGGTGATCAGGCATATCAGCTAAGAGAACTTTGTGTTTACCCATAAGTGCTGTATAAAGAACACGATTTATGAGATAATATTCTGAATATCTATGATTGATAATGTGTTCATCGATAGTTTGTATGAATAGATTTTTATTGGCTTCTTGAATTTCTTTAGATTGAATATTGGAATAAGAATATGTACTAAGACCTTTAGACCAATCAATTTCTTCCATATTTTTATTGGCATTAAGCATGTCTAATACAACGAGATTGACTACAGCTTCTTCCCAAGCATGAGGTTTAAGAGGATCAATCAAAGGAGTATCATACTATTCATAGCCTTCGACATTTTGTAGTGCACATTTGTGAGCTAAGAATCTTTATCGAGCAATATATGGCGAAGGGTCTAATTGTAATACAATAAGATCTGGATGCATTCTAAGTTAAATAATTTGGAGTACTATGTATTAAGACTATTAAAGAGATCATAATTCTTGAATTTGTCTTTGGTTTAGCCATATGGTACTCCAGTGACATAGCATGTATCAGAACTTTCATGATTATTAGCAAGATAGCCTTGATTGGCTGCCTTCAATGGTTTGAGATTGACTGACTTTGGTGTTTTAGCACCATAAGAATCTCTCTAGTTAAGAAAGTAGAGCTCAGCTGATAGCTATTCATAGCGATATCTCAATGTTTAATTGAGGGATCTAACAATTTTAATTCTTTATAACATTAATAATGTTAGAACATAAGAGAAATCACTCTTAGAAAATTAGAACTGTATTGATAAAATGTTAAGATAAATAAGTGACAATAGAAATTGCTATGGACAAGAGTGTAGCTGATCTAATTAATAAGGTATACCTATTTATTAACTAATCAAAACTAGTTACGCGAACATCCAGCAACTCCAAATTCATAATAGTTGGTTGCTCTCAAAACTGCTTCAAACTCTATTACCATGGATTACATGTTGTCTGTCCCAGAAGAAAGAGGTACACTATGAAATCATATTAATTCAGCTTAACTGCCCATACATAAGTTGAAATAAGAAGCACTTATTGCAGTCTATAGATAAAATGCTAATAAATCCAATCTCAGTCTTCTAGACTTTACATTCGAACGATGCATAGGCAAGGGAGGCACTTCAGAGGTGTATCTGGTACGTCATCATGTATCTGGACGATTGTTTGCTCTTAAAATGATCAAAAAACAATACATTACAGATTGTAGAAGACTGGAATAAATACTTAGAGAAAAGAAAATTCTCTCTTAAGTTCTCAATCATTCTAAATTCATCATACCACTCTATGCAACATTTGCTACTAAAGATCATCTTTGCTTTTTAATGGAATACTCTGCTGGAGGAGAAATGTTTTATCATCTTTAAAATTACCGTTTTACAGATGATGAAGCAAAAGCTTACATTTCAGAAGTCATCTGTGCCCTAGAAGAACTCCATTAACATCGTGTCTTATATAGAGACTTAAAGGTAATGATTCTTCTTCAATCTCTAGCCAGAAAACATACTTATTGATCTTCGAGGCCATATTTAACTCACTGACTTTGGCTTATCTAAACTCGATTTAAGTGAAGAATAATTAACTAACAGCTTCTGTGGCTCTCCTGAATATATGCCTCCAGAAATTGTCAATCGATAAGGTTATTCCTATCCTGCTGATTTCTATACCTTAGGATGTCTACTTTATGAATTATTATTAGGATTGCCTCCTCATTATTCTCAAAACACTGAAGAAATTTTTCATAAAATTCAAAATGAGGATATTTCATTTCCTGAAGACTTGAGTACTGATGTGATGTCGCTGTTATAAAGTCTCTTGAATAAAAATATTAAAGAAAGAATTCACGATTTTAACACTCTCAAAAAAAATTCTTGGTTTAGTAATGTTGATTGGTAAGCGGTCAAATAGAAAAAATCAAATCAAATGCCAATATTCATAGACATCTATGAAACACATATTCATTAAGAATTCTTAAAAATCGATGTTACAGATCTTAACCACAAAAACGAAATTGGAGAATTAAGCAGTTCGGAAGATCTCTTTGATTTTTTTAATTATGTCAATGAAACATACAAAGACATCTTTCAACTAAAATAGAAGATGAGAGTTTAAAGTGATCATCTTATTGATAAAAAGCTTTTACAAATAAGTTAATCAACTACAAAAAAGAAAAATCTTTAATTAAACTTATAAGAAATCGAAAAATAATTTTCAAAAACTCAAGCTTAAAAGTAATCACTGACCCCATAGAGTATAATGCCATTGTCATTATTACGTAAATCATTTTAATAAATGATGAAAGAGAAACCCAGAAAAAGTTAAGACAATCATCCAACACTCAGTACTGTCTTATCAGACCGTCCTATAATAGATCGCAACTATGTAATAATATTGTTATATTAGTAGATTTAGAAGATGTTGTAAACTCTAACAAGTAAGAAGAAACCTCAAAGCCCTCTTCATAATGAATTGTCTTGGAGACCACCTCAAGTTAAAAGAGGTTCAAGTTCATCAACTCATTTAAAATCATCTATAAGTTAACGTGGATAAAGTTCAACAAGAAAATAAAAATGATTTACTACTTATTGTTAAATATATGATTCTACTTCTATTTAATCATTTTAAGATTAGTTCTTCATAATCAATACCTCAGAATAAATTTTTTATAAAATCTTTGAATAGAAAGAATTATTGGATTTATATCAAAGATATCTTGCTGCCATATGTCTTATTAAATTCAGTTATTTTTAGCATAGCCATCAATACCACATTTAATAAAATATAATATTCTTGCTTATATGAATCTTAATATCATATCATTTACTTATATAATAATTGGAGATGATAAAACAATAAAATTAAAATAAGTAGTTTTACTATCATTCTTATAATACTTAAGCCAAAAAAGCCTAATCAGACTACTGATTAACTGAGAATAATAATTTAACAACTTTTTAAATTCATTCACTTAACCTAATCAAATTTTAATCGAATAGATTATTTGAAAACAAGTTAAAACTTGACACTCACAAAAACAAAAACGAATCAATAATTATTTCAAGAACAGTTTTTTTGAAATAGCGAACTAGTTCAAATTTCTAGAAATATCACAAAACATTTATTCTTAATATAATTGATACAAAGATTATTGAGATTGAAATTTATGAAAGACATTATAAATCATATTGTAATTTAAAAATACTATTTTTATATTTTTAATTAATTATAATTAGACTTATTTTAGAATCACTATTATGATTTTTTTAATTCATTTTTGTTGATTTTTTTAAAAAGTTTTACATTTGAAATTATTATTTAATAATTGCTAAGAGGTGAACATAAATATTTGGTGTAATAAAAAATGTTTCTCGAGGTAATTTAAACAATTAATCAATTATAAAATTATACATAAAATAAGACATATGGATTAAAACCATCTGAAATTAAATTTTAGTCAATTTATTGTAGAGAAACAAAACTCATACACAGATGACTATAAACTGGGAGTAATAGTTTATTTAATCATTAGGGAGTTTTAGGTGTTGGAGCATTTTCGTAAGTTCGAAAAGTAACCCATAGAAAAACAAGAGCAATAAGAGCTATGAAAGTTTTAAAATATTTTATATATAATTATAGGTCATTAGTAAATCGAGACTTTCTACTACGGAATTGTAATAAAAGTTTATAAATGAAATAAATGTTTACAAATAATTAGATCATCCTCACATACTTAAATTATATGAGTTTTACTAGGATGAAAAAAATTACTATATAATTATAGAATTATGCACAGGGTACATATAGTTATGGAAATTAGTGGAGAATTATTTGATAAAATAATTGAAAAAGGCAGTTTTTCAGAAAAAGAAGCATCTTACATCATGAAGTAGATTATGTCTGCAATTTTATATGCTCACAATTCGAGTATTGTACATAGAGATTTAAAACCAGAGAATGTTTTGCTTGATATAACCAGTTAAGGCAATTATAATGTGAAGGTAGTAGANTATCTTGCTGCCATATGTCTTATTAAATTCAGTTATTTTTAGCATAGCCATCAATACCACATTTAATAAAATATAATATTCTTGCTTATATGAATCTTAATATCATATCATTTACTTATATAATAATTGGAGATGATAAAACAATAAAATTAAAATAAGTAGTTTTACTATCATTCTTATAATACTTAAGCCAAAAAAGCCTAATCAGACTACTGATTAACTGAGAATAATAATTTAACAACTTTTTAAATTCATTCACTTAACCTAATCAAATTTTAATCGAATAGATTATTTGAAAACAAGTTAAAACTTGACACTCACAAAAACAAAAACGAATCAATAATTATTTCAAGAACAGTTTTTTTGAAATAGCGAACTAGTTCAAATTTCTAGAAATATCACAAAACATTTATTCTTAATATAATTGATACAAAGATTATTGAGATTGAAATTTATGAAAGACATTATAAATCATATTGTAATTTAAAAATACTATTTTTATATTTTTAATTAATTATAATTAGACTTATTTTAGAATCACTATTATGATTTTTTTAATTCATTTTTGTTGATTTTTTTAAAAAGTTTTACATTTGAAATTATTATTTAATAATTGCTAAGAGGTGAACATAAATATTTGGTGTAATAAAAAATGTTTCTCGAGGTAATTTAAACAATTAATCAATTATAAAATTATACATAAAATAAGACATATGGATTAAAACCATCTGAAATTAAATTTTAGTCAATTTATTGTAGAGAAACAAAACTCATACACAGATGACTATAAACTGGGAGTAATAGTTTATTTAATCATTAGGGAGTTTTAGGTGTTGGAGCATTTTCGTAAGTTCGAAAAGTAACCCATAGAAAAACAAGAGCAATAAGAGCTATGAAAGTTTTAAAATATTTTATATATAATTATAGGTCATTAGTAAATCGAGACTTTCTACTACGGAATTGTAATAAAAGTTTATAAATGAAATAAATGTTTACAAATAATTAGATCATCCTCACATACTTAAATTATATGAGTTTTACTAGGATGAAAAAAATTACTATATAATTATAGAATTATGCACAGGGTACATATAGTTATGGAAATTAGTGGAGAATTATTTGATAAAATAATTGAAAAAGGCAGTTTTTCAGAAAAAGAAGCATCTTACATCATGAAGTAGATTATGTCTGCAATTTTATATGCTCACAATTCGAGTATTGTACATAGAGATTTAAAACCAGAGAATGTTTTGCTTGATATAACCAGTTAAGGCAATTATAATGTGAAGGTAGTAGATTGGGGAACAGCAAAAATATTTTCACCAAATTAATAAATAAATGAAAAATTTGGAACTTTATACTACATGGCACCAGAAGTATTGAAACGTAATTATAATGAAAAATGCGATATTTGGTCTTGTGGCGTTATTTTATATATTTTATTATCTGGAATGCCTCCATTTAATGGAAGAACAGATGCTGAGATTTAAAAGAGTATTTTACTTGGGAAATATTAATTAGAAGTAAAATGAATTTGGTCATTTTAAGGGTGAAGTTTGGGATTCTGCAAGTGCTCAAGCTAAAGATCTTATAACAAAAATGCTTTAATATGATGTATAAAAGAGATTAAGTGCTAAATAAGTATTGGAGCATCCATGGTTTTTATAATAACATTAAGAGAAAGTAGATAAATAAATAGTGTAAGGTAGATTAAAAAATCTGATGAATTTCAGAGCTGAATAAAAACTATAATAAGCCACTTTGATGTTTATAGGGACAACAATGATATCAAAGGAAGAAAAAAATTAGTTAGTATTATATATTAATCTATAAGATGTAAGCTTTTAAAGAGATGGATTAAAATGGAGATGGGATTCTCACAAAAGAAGAGATTCTGGAGACATATAAGAAGTACATGGATGATGAAACTGCTTTATAAGAAGTTTAGAAAATAATGGATTTAGTAGACATGGATGGATCAGGTACAATTGATTATACAGAGTTCATTATTGCTTCAATGGATAGAAAAAAAGCAGTATAAAAAGAAAAATTGAAAGAAGTAAATAAATTTATAAATTTTTAAAGGCATTTTAAATATTCGATAAAGATGGTAATGGATATATCTCTGAATCAGAAATTAAAGAGGTTTTAGGACCATCATTAACAGGAATTGATGAAAAATATTGGTTTGATATGATTAGAGAAATTGATAAAAATGGTGATGGGCAAATCAGTTATGATGAATTCTGTGAAATGATGATGAAAATCATTTAATGATATATATAGACTAATTTCATCTTTATAAAAAACGTTCTAGCATTGCCTTAAACATTTCTTACATTGATGTATGGTATTGAACAGCACGGTTCCCGATCTTATTTGCAATATCTTACTGTTTTTCTGCTATTTCTAACATTGTATTGTCAAAGTACATATCTAAAATATCCTTCCATAAATCATAATGATTCTCTATTTTTTATTAGTAATAAATATACATTCTAATCTTTGAAGTAGATTTATATATTGATCTTTAGCATTTATATGCGTGTGTTTTGATTAAGTGTAAAAAAGCTCTTTTTCTAATAAGTCAAAGGATTACTCGAGTTATTCATTCATCATTTTTATTAAATATTCCGATATAACACTTCGCATTAAACTTAATAATTAAATTGATTCTTCTTTTTTATGAGGATTTGATTTTTCTCGAAACAATTTATCAACGCTCTTCATAAAAAAATCCACTTCCTAATTCTGCATTTATTTAAAAGAACCTATCATTATCTTAGATTCCAATAACTCTAAAGCTTTATATATGTCCTATTGATCATTCGATTCCAATACTACTCAAAAAAAATTTTCTAACTATTATACCTTCTTATATTTTTTGATGCAAATAATTAAATTCCTCAAAACGTTTGCTAATATCTTCAGATTAAGAATGCTTAATCTTAGCCAGCTCTTTTATATCTCCTTCAATAAGTTTTTCCTTATTTTATTTAATAATATACTTTATCTGCAATAATACGTTTTATCTTATCAATTGCTTCTGGAAATGTTTCCCTTAAAAACATTTTCATGTCTTCTTTCTCATTTTTACTGCAAATCTATTATGCCTTTAAAGATTTTAGTAGCTTAAAAAAATTATATACTTTTCTACTTCCTAATAATGTTCTGCGTATATTGTCAGGCTTTCTAATTCAAACTCTAAATTTTATTTTGCCCTTCCCTCTAATTTCTCGAGAGCAGTATAATACTCCAATTATGAAAGGAATTCTTTTATGAAATTCATTCTGTTATAAACATCCATCACATATTATTCTTCTTTATGCACGTATGCAAAAGCATATATAGACAGTAGAATTATTAATAACATAAATATTGAAAAAAGAAGTATGTAACAGTAAACAAATATGAAATATGAATCAATTCCAAATTAAAAAGAATATATATAAATAGTATTCTTCTCCATTTACAAATCGATTAAGATCAAAATTTTAAAAACAGCTAGCGAAAAATTCTTATTATTCTTAAATCATCATTTCTTTAGCTTAAATAATCATAAAAACAATCTTTTACCTTTTTAAGCCTTCTCAAATAATCAAACTGGCATAGAATATTGAGATTTAAGAATTTGTTTTAGATTATTAATATTTAAAATAAATTAACGTATTTGACAAAGAGGCACAATAAAAATTAAAATTTTAGAAATTAGTAGACAATAGATTATGTCATTTTTTTCTAATCACTTTATGATAATACTATTTTCGCTTTATGATATTTTTGAAAATCTCAATAAAATTGAATAATTTATTAATATCCTAGATAATATAATAGATTAAAACAAAATGTATTTTTTTTACTTTTTTTAAACTTCTATTCTAAAAAAAATGAATAATCTAAAAATTTAAATGAAAACTACACAATAGGAAAATATGAAAAAATTTATATAAATGATTGGCTCATTATTAATGCATTTCTTTCCAAAATTGCATAACCTTTCCTGACATAATTTAATCAACTAAATTTATAAATTCTTATTCTGGACTGTTAGCTGGAAATTTGTAATTCTCAACTCCTTAAAATAAATTTTATTTATTTGGAGCATATAATTAAGTAGAGAAATCTGGTAATAGTAAATTCAAATGCTTGCAATCTTCTGATGTAAATTTTGGTATTGCTGGGGGAAATACCTAAATTATTTATTAAAGTTTACTTTTAATTTATCTAAATTTTCTTTTTGTTTTTTATGATAATTTTTAAGAAATATTGCTGCCATTTTTTTAAAGCTTTCTTTATCCCCTCCAGTTTAGAGATAAGTCTAATAAAGCATTTAGCCAACATGAGTTTGAAATTCCATTTTAGATCCAACTAAAGTATTTTAAGTTTGTTAGTTTGGGGCATCATTTGCAAGTTAATCGGCTTCATTTACCTTCCTCTATTTCTCTTTTTATTATTTTTATTTTCTCTCTTCTTCTTCTCTCTATAATTATTATCTTTTGTGTAGAGCCAATTACATTTTTTTCTTAAAACTAAAATAAGTGATATCTTATTCTTCTTCCAATTTCTATTCTTCATTCTCATTTTTATTAGGATTCTCTGATTAAGACCTTGGTTGTTATTTGGTATCTTATTTAACTTAAACTTGTTCCTCTTACTTTTGTTATTGTTATTAAGTTTCTCGTTACAAAATTTCCAAATAATCTACCTTTTCAACTTTCTATTTAAAAATATTAAGTCTGTGATTAATAGTCTCTAATGTTGGTAGAGTCTAACCACCTTGACTATTTCTAATAACATCTTTTCCAAGTAATTTCCAACCATGTACAAATTGTTGTTATTCTGCTTTAGAAATTAGAGTTTGTCTAATCATTAATTAATTGACTTTACTTATGTTTAGTTTATTCTGTTTTTTCAGCATTTCCTTCATCTTTTTCTTCTTATTCAAATTTTATAGCTTCTTATAACCCTGGATTTTCAGTAAAAAATTATGCCATTTATTCTTTGAGGTGGAAGATTGTATTTGTGTCTGTCTCAGCTTCTTCCTCTTCAATACTAGAATTGAATGAGTTATCACTATTCATAGAATCATCAGAGGAAAAAACTATTGCTTCCTTCTATATTTGGATCTATGATGTTCTTTTCATAAAATTCTGTAATTATAATTTATAATATAAGAATCAAAATAAAACTGATTTACGTTCAGAAGAAAGCTTTATTCGATTCATCTTTAAAATGTCTTAATTAAGTTATTGCACTTTTTATAATTGTTTGATTCTTTTGACGAATTTTTCTTAATCATTTAATAGAATCTAGGATTAAATTTAATTACTTGCTTTATACAAATTATCAATATTAATTTCTAAAATTGAGTTTAAGGAAGAATCGTTTGTCATACTTACTTTACGAGATGTTAATTGCTTTTTAAAGTTTTTCAAATAATGTTTAGTTTATTTAACACTCTTAGATATTGGTAATGTTTTTTGACTTATTTCATTAAGTTTAACGTTCTCTTTAGGCTTGACAAATAAATATGCATAAAGCTTAACATCTTTATTTAATGGATCATTTAGTATATATTTATCATTTTCATATTCTTTAAATAAGGTATTTTTCATTTACATCCTTCTTTTAGCTTTACTCATAATTTACTATTACTCTTATTCTCTTTCATTAATAAATCCTCTTAATTTTTCATCTATAACATCTCTTACTTTCTATTTTATAAAGATATCCTAATCTTTACTTTCTTNTTGCTGGGGGAAATACCTAAATTATTTATTAAAGTTTACTTTTAATTTATCTAAATTTTCTTTTTGTTTTTTATGATAATTTTTAAGAAATATTGCTGCCATTTTTTTAAAGCTTTCTTTATCCCCTCCAGTTTAGAGATAAGTCTAATAAAGCATTTAGCCAACATGAGTTTGAAATTCCATTTTAGATCCAACTAAAGTATTTTAAGTTTGTTAGTTTGGGGCATCATTTGCAAGTTAATCGGCTTCATTTACCTTCCTCTATTTCTCTTTTTATTATTTTTATTTTCTCTCTTCTTCTTCTCTCTATAATTATTATCTTTTGTGTAGAGCCAATTACATTTTTTTCTTAAAACTAAAATAAGTGATATCTTATTCTTCTTCCAATTTCTATTCTTCATTCTCATTTTTATTAGGATTCTCTGATTAAGACCTTGGTTGTTATTTGGTATCTTATTTAACTTAAACTTGTTCCTCTTACTTTTGTTATTGTTATTAAGTTTCTCGTTACAAAATTTCCAAATAATCTACCTTTTCAACTTTCTATTTAAAAATATTAAGTCTGTGATTAATAGTCTCTAATGTTGGTAGAGTCTAACCACCTTGACTATTTCTAATAACATCTTTTCCAAGTAATTTCCAACCATGTAACAAATTGTTGTTATTCTGCTTTAGAAATTAGAGTTTGTCTAATCATTAATTAATTGACTTTACTTATGTTTAGTTTATTCTGTTTTTTCAGCATTTCCTTCATCTTTTTCTTCTTATTCAAATTTTATAGCTTCTTATAACCCTGGATTTTCAGTAAAAAATTATGCCATTTATTCTTTGAGGTGGAAGATTGTATTTGTGTCTGTCTCAGCTTCTTCCTCTTCAATACTAGAATTGAATGAGTTATCACTATTCATAGAATCATCAGAGGAAAAAACTATTGCTTCCTTCTATATTTGGATCTATGATGTTCTTTTCATAAAATTCTGTAATTATAATTTATAATATAAGAATCAAAATAAAACTGATTTACGTTCAGAAGAAAGCTTTATTCGATTCATCTTTAAAATGTCTTAATTAAGTTATTGCACTTTTTATAATTGTTTGATTCTTTTGACGAATTTTTCTTAATCATTTAATAGAATCTAGGATTAAATTTAATTACTTGCTTTATACAAATTATCAATATTAATTTCTAAAATTGAGTTTAAGGAAGAATCGTTTGTCATACTTACTTTACGAGATGTTAATTGCTTTTTAAAGTTTTTCAAATAATGTTTAGTTTATTTAACACTCTTAGATATTGGTAATGTTTTTTGACTTATTTCATTAAGTTTAACGTTCTCTTTAGGCTTGACAAATAAATATGCATAAAGCTTAACATCTTTATTTAATGGATCATTTAGTATATATTTATCATTTTCATATTCTTTAAATAAGGTATTTTTCATTTACATCCTTCTTTTAGCTTTACTCATAATTTACTATTACTCTTATTCTCTTTCATTAATAAATCCTCTTAATTTTTCATCTATAACATCTCTTACTTTCTATTTTATAAAGATATCCTAATCTTTACTTTCTTTCTTTTTCTTTTATTTCTCATCTGATCTCTTTACTCTCAGGTATCTATGAGTGAAATAATTTACATTTTCAAATTCTCGTTATCCATCTGTCCTTTCTGTAATTAGATTCTTCTATTTAAACTTACTTTTATTTTGTTCACTAACTTCATAGAGTTGTCTAAAAAGTTACACATCTTTGAGATTAGTGTCTTCTGTTGGTTTTGTTTCTAAGTTTTTTTGAATTAATTTCTTTATTTTTTCGAATCTTTATAAAACTCTGACTTTTTTTTCAATCTCTTAATCAGTCAATCCTTAATGATGTAATGATCTATATTTGTTTGTAACTTGTAATTAATTGGCAAACATATTTGCACGTTTTACTAATTTAATTCTATTTTTAAGTTTTGTTTCCTTTCTATTTAAATGATTGCATTCATTTACTAAATTTAAAGCAGTTAGTTCTCCATTCAAATATTAACGAAAACCTTATTTAAGCTTCTCATTGAATTAAAAAGGATTAGGCTAATTCAATGGAGATGAATAGTATATTAGATCATTAGGGTTTTTTTGTTATTTATTTGTTTGATTTTTTTGTCTTAGAGTACTTTGAAAATTTCCAAACATTTAATCCCATAACAATACATTTTATCCAGTACCTTCTACAGTAGATTATCGAGTACTGAAGAATGTTGTACGACTTTTGGTATTCACAGTCAGCATTTTAATATAAACTTTGCAAATAAATTTGCTAAGTATAATTAAATATACATATATTATGATCGATAAATTTGTTTCCAAATCTTGAATTTTCCTTTTCATAAATTATATGCAAGCAGGAAAAAATACTATCAAGCTTATTAATGAACTATTTTGTAAAGCATTCTTCAAAACATTTGTAACTAGCTGTATATAATATAATAATCTTTGTATTTCATTTGTTGTGTTGAAAATAATTTCGATCCAATTAAATACTTTTTTATTAAATGATACTTAATTAGAAGAATTGGAAAAATAGAAGGAAATTAAATAGAAAAAATGGCATTACTTGATGTTCTATTTGAAACATATACCATGGCAAAACCCTAATAAGTAATCCTTTCCCATATATTGTTGATAATCTTACACAAGTATTAGTAGAATATTATTCTAAGGCTACTGTTGGAGATTCGAAAGACATGTAAGAATGTTTCTTATAATATTATCAAAAATATAGTGCAAATAAAATGAATTGCAAAAAAAAACTACCTAACTTAAAAAATCATGATATGAAATTCATAGAATAAAATAGACAAGCCATTCCTGATATGAAATATTAAAAATCCATTGAAATCAAAGCGTTAACTAACAGATAATTACAATAGAGAAATGTAGAAATTGTTTAATGATTAGTTTAATTAAAATTATTCATTCAATATTTATTTTTATATAATATATATATATTTAAATATTATATTGTTTATTCTCTTATTATCTACTCATACGCATAGTTACTATTCGAAAATAAAAATAACGTTATTTTGATTTTACACAATTAAACATTCAAAATTCAAATTTTATTAGAGTCTTAATAAGATTAAATTAACATTGTCATATCAAATATGCAAACTCTTTTACTATCATAAATTAAAATAAAAAATATATTATTACTTTAAATCTGCCTTTTGAATTTAAATTAGATAAAGAATAATAATTTAACTAAAGAATCTTTTATAAATTTTTCAATTTTTACTTAATAATTGTTAAGGAATGATTTAAAAAAAATAACTAAATTAAAAAAGGAGAATTAATTATTTGGTATATTTCTTAAAAAAGTATAAAAATTAATCATTTATCCATTAATATATCTCAAATTAATAATAAAAATGGAATCAAATATATAGTAAGTTTTTAAACTGATANATGGGTTTTAAATTGAATGTCTTCACATTATGAATATTAATAACATTATTCATTAATCCATAAACAACTTCCATCGTTTCCAATTATGCAACGTAATTTTTAGGTATACATTGAACAATCTAATAAATCCATGCAATAACCTCTTCTTTAAAAATCTGCTGTACATTCTAATGATATTTTTTGACATGAATTATGATTCGATCCATTAAAATCTCTACATTATTAATTTCTGCACAAATTTACGCTTCCATCCCAAATACATGGCTGTTTGGAAACATCAATCATACATTACTCTTAAAAACTATATTCTATACATGACATTAAATTAGTGCATCCTCCATTTTTTTGAGTTGTGCATTTATTGAGATATTATTAACATTATGAATGAGTAATTAAACTTCTAGGAGCTATATTACATTGTCTTATTTAGCATTAATTACTGCTAGTCCACTAACATAATTGTCCATCTGGTTAAGAAACACAACTTGCTTCATTTACAGATTAATTGCATTACTTTCTAGGAATACATTAATTCCCATTACTAGTACAATTAGACATTACATTTTTGCATTCTTTATCTGTTGCATAGAAATAATATTCACAGATGGCCTTCCTACATTTTATAGTATCTAAAAAACATTCATCAAAATACAATGCACAATCTGTTATAATATCTGGTTTGTTTTAACAAGTTTTATTAATACACATATTTTTATCTTAATCGTAATAACAATAATTAACTTCACATTGTATCATAGTCATTTCTTAACAGGTTTTTGGGATGATTTAACAACCGCTTCCATTAGCTTCTACCGTACACGTATCCAAATAACTATAACATTAATAGTGCGATTTATAAGACAATGGTGCTGTTTAACAACTCTTTATTAAACATTTTTTATTTTTTTCATCATATCCACATTTTACACCTTTTTTAGTGATAATGCACGAGCCTTAATCAGTATAATTTTCGCATAAATCTAATTGAAAAGTACAACCACCTCCCGTTTTAGTTGTGCACTTAACTTTGGTATAGTAGGATAAACATTATTCTAAGGTTGTTAGAGAAATGGGAGCAGAAGTACATGTTTTTGTCAAACATTAATTATTATTCCATTGGCATGGTTACCCTTTTATATCAACAATGCATGATAATTACGAGTAAAAGGATTCACACTATTGTTAATTGTCTTAGCATCCCTTACCTGTATTACTTAAAATACAATCTACATATTAAATAGATTTGCATTATTAGTTAGAAGAGTATAATGGAAAAATTGCATCAGTATACAATAACCGTTTTTGGAAAATGGCAGAGATTAAGACTGTGGTAATCTTAACAAGTAGCCATAATATCAGTACATTCTTCTAATTCAATTTATGAAGTGCAACCGATATCAAAATCTTAACAATCAGTTAAGGTTGTTTTAGGGGCCACTTGAGATTAACAAAGCTTTCTTTTACAATTACCAGCGAATATATAGAAAAAACATGCTTCTCTAAATTAAGGACATGTGATTTCATCTCCAGACATGAAATTGCAAGGGTAATTTTTTATAACACAGTAATCTTTATAAGAAATACATAATCCTTCATTGAAAGAGAAATAGCAATCATCTTTATTATTGTATTCATAACAGTAATTTTTAAAGGGGATGCATTAATTTTTCATTTTGTTAATTGAACATTAACCAATACTTTGACATTTATCAAGAGTAGAATAAGAATAATCAGTACAAGTTTTTAGAATGCATCCATTATTTGTTAAATTGACTTTGCATTCAAAGAGAATAGATTCACAATTAGAAGTAGAATAAGTAGTAAGAAATTTGATATCATCACAAACGTTAATGGTTTTACATTAATTATTATACCAAATACAATTAATTTTAGTAGATGAGATAGTTTTGAAACAAGATTCTTTTTTTAGATATTATTCACAAGTATCAAATTTTTCAACACATCCTCCAATATTAGGATGAACAGTGCAATCACTCTAAAATGTTCTACATTACTCATCAGTTGCATATTCATAAGAATCTGCCGCATTAGCACATGAATATGATGAGCAAGTTCTAGAAACAGAATTCCATTTGCAAAATTAATGTCTTAAATTTAAAATACATTAAGAGGAGTTAACATAATCTTCACATTCTTTTAATTATATACAACCATTTCCAGTTTCATTGACAGTACATGTATTCTTAAGTTCATAGCATTATTAATGGTTATATCCAATATAATCAGTATATTCTAAAATATCAGCATTAATGCATTAAGCTCCATTCCAAATACAAGCACCTTCTTATGCTGCATCTTTTATACAATTAGATTATGTCAAAACTTCACATATACTTTTATTTTAACAATTATTATTATCATTATTTAAAATACAACATTTGGTAACATCTTAAGAACATTCTATATATGAATTGCATTCTGACATATTTTTTTAATCTAATTCGAATTGAGCTGTTTAACATGATCTTGATTGACATTAATCTAATCCCCATACACAATCATCATCTTCATCATCAAAATGACAATTCTCTATTCGTTTTCTATCTTTACATAATTTTGGTAAATCCATACAACCTACTGTATTACTAATTACACATCCTTTAAGATATTATCCACATAATTCATTACTATTATAATTAATATCTGCTGTATAACATTATTTATCTACACATATATTAATCTGCCTATCCCATCCACATTCTCCACCTACTCGAAAATAACAATTATTTTTCTTACTATTCCCTTGACATGTTGGTGGAAGTAATGTGCATCCATTACCTTCATCATTCAAAGTACATTTACTCAAAAAATTATTGCATTCTATTGCACTTGTTAATTTTCCTAACGTACATTCTTTACTTGAACATTTCTCTTAATATAAACATTTATTTCCATCTAAATCCTCTACACATAATTATTAATCTCTTATATTTTCACATATCATATTAATGCATCCAAAATTTGTATCTGGATCTATTGTACAATCCTCGCTATAGTGTTAACATTCATCATGAGATTAAAGTGTTTTAGGTGCATTTTCACATGTTTTATTTAAACATATTTCTTAATCATTCCAAAAACATTCATTTCCATCTGAATCTATTAAGCATGCCTCCTCAATATTGTAATCTTAACATTTACTTATTTTTCTACATCCTCCTCCTTTCTTAGTAACACATCCTTACAAAAACTTTGAACAATCTAAATTACTTATTAAACTATTCTAAGCTAAGTCACATTAAGCTCTTTAACATATATTATTTCTCCAAATACATTTATTATTATTTATATCTTTCTCACAAGCATCCTCTATTTTTGCTGAATTACACCCTTAATTATCTCCACAACCTTATCCATTTGTAATACAATTTTTAATATATTATTCGCATTCTAGATTTGTCTTATATGTTGAAGAAGCATTTTTACAAATTTTGTCCAAACATTTTGTACCGTCCCAATAACATATCCCTCCTTTCTAATTATTCTTACATGCTTCCCTGATTAAAATTGCTTCACAAGTAGTTCTCTCTACACACCCTCCATATTATTTTGTTGTACATATCTTTAGATAATTTTTACATTCCTCATCTGTTTTAAGAGTATTAAGAGCATTCTAACAAATTTTATCTACACAACTAGTTCCATTCCAAAAACATTGCTATGTTTAATCATGATTCCAAAAACATTAATTCTAGAATAATTGATCAGAACATTTCAAACCACTTTCTACACATCCTTCCCCAAATTAAGCTACTGTACATGTATTTAACTCATCCCTACATTACGAATCAATTTTTAACGATTTTGGAAACTACTCACAAGTAAAAGCAATTAAGCATTTTGAACCTTAAGAATCCCAATAACAAAAGTCACCATTTTCATCATATTAACAAGACTTTTATGTCAAGTATTCATCACATAATCTTATCTCTACACATTAAATTCCATTTGATATACATCTCCTAGATATATATTAACATTCTTCATCTTTTTCTTTCAAAAATGCACTACAACCTGTAAAATGCCAACATATATCATTAATTAAGGCACAATTAATATTTTCAGAACATTAGCTACTCTAAATTTAATTACAATATGTTGGATCATTGTCTGTCTCACTTGTTTCTGGATCAATTACAGTTTCATTTTTATAACAACCTGTCGAATTCCAATAACTTTGGCCCTCATAGTAACGTTCACAATCATACTATGAAGTAATATTCTCTCTAAAACATTTATAATTCTGAAATTCACTCCAAACAACAGGTACTAATAGAAAATCAATCATAAGCAAAAACATCATAAACTAATGTTAGTCAATAAAAATAATTTATTTATTTTCTCTTAATATCTAGAAAATAGAGAGATTTTATAAATTATTCAGAAATATTCTAAATTTTATTTTCAAAAAATACCCCAAAATCTAAGTCCTTTTTTATCTTTTAATAGATGTACTTGAAGAAATTGATATTTAAATGAAAAAGGTTAGCGTTATTCTATTTATTAGAATTATAAAAATAAAAAATTATAATTTTTATTATTAAAATATTTAAAAAGGACTAGAAATTAAATAAATGATTATAAAATTTTTAATAATTTCATATATATTATATAATTAAATAGTTATTTAGACAAATCGTAAAATTTTGTTAATAAGATTCTGTAATTAAAAAGTGATGAATACGTTTTTTTTGAAGAATATTATTATTTATTTTAAATATAACTAAATTTTAAGTATTAGTAGAATATAGGGTAACAAATTGGAAACATTATAAATATAAAAACAATGAGATAAGACTTTTTTCAGTTTCAGTAGATTTAAATGATTAACTTATCATATTAGATGGAATTATATAATGGGTTAATCTTTTAACTCTTCTATTGTATTTGAACATAGTTTGAAATAAAGACCATTTGATTTGATGGTTTAGTTGGATCATCTTGATATATTGGAAGTCTAAAATATAATTATATATATATTATGAATTGCAATGAATGTATATGATTCCATTTTAGAATGTGACGATGAAAAAGTTTTTGTAATTCGTTAAGCAAAAATGTATTATTAAATGGCTGATGATAGTTGTTATATGGTTAGATTTGAGTATGGATTGATGTAATTATGTATTAAAATGAAGAAATTATTAGATTCTGCAAAAGACATTACCCTTTGAGTATTTAGTCAGAGCAGAATATAAGGATAGAAATTTCAAATATTTAGAACTCACATTTTTTGTAAATGATAATTCTTAAAGAGATATTCTACACTAAAATGTTAATATTTTAAAATTATCATGCAAAGTACTAATACGAATTAAAAGTAAGAAAATTTTCATTTTAAATTGCGAAAAATTTTTTTCAATGCTTCTTTTTAGTCTAAAGAACAATCCAACAATTAAATTTGTTCTTTGTCATCAAATCCATTTAATTTAAGAATTTTTTAATTTTTCATCTAAAAAATGCTCTTTTTTTGTTAATCCATAAGATTGATAAACTTTATCTAACTTTCAACTATATTTTGATACTCCTTAATGATAGCTCTTAAGTTTTTTGATTGATTTCCATTTATGAAGGCTAATTTTATTAAAATATTTACTTTATTATTTTTTCTCAAAATGCTTGATTATAATTTTTCCATTAATTTAGCCTTGCAATTTGTGAATATAAATTAACCATAAATTTAAAATTATTAATGTTTATTCAAGATCACTTTATTATTTATTTATTAAGGAATTGAATACTTAAATTTAATAAATTCTGTTTTCAAAATATATTTACATATTGAATTATTCTATGCTTCTTGGTGAATATACTTACCCTTCTTGTTCACTATCTTATGAAATTAATGGATGCTCAAATATTTGTACCCAACTTATCCTATCATCTTCAGAATATCTTAGCATTTATTTTATCAGCATAACAATAGAAGGCATATTATTTTAAGGGAAAGGTAGTCTATTTTGTTTTACTTCTGTAAAGAAATCTTCTAAATCGGATAATGATTTTGCTGATTCGTTTGGTAAGAATCCATATACAATCAAATAGAGGATCAAACCTAAAGACCAAACATCGCATTTGGATGAAAAATATGATTCAAACAGTTGAGGAGAAGCATATAATGGTGAGCATTTAACTGACAATTCTTACTTTATGTCTGGATTTAGAACAAATCTTGCAAATCCAAAATCTGCTATTTTAGCTTAATTATTTGAAAATACGATATTATCTGGCTTGATATCTCTGTGAATAATATTATTTCTAAACAATTCTTTATAGCCATTACAGAATTATTTAATAAATTATATTGTAGAATTTTCATCGAATTTTTATTTTTTCAATAATTATGTTAAATTACCACCTTCACAAAATTCAAAAACTTCATAAGAAATTTATTTGTCATCAAATGTTTCAATAAATTGCACTAAATTTTCATTTTTATTTATATTCTCATAAATTTTCAAATTAATTTTAAAGCATTGTTTTATCTCTTTTAATGCAAAATATTTCTTTGCACACTCAGCCTTATAAACCTTTCCTTCAGTTCCTGAACCAATAACATCCAAAATTTTATNCTAATACGAATTAAAAGTAAGAAAATTTTCATTTTAAATTGCGAAAAATTTTTTTCAATGCTTCTTTTTAGTCTAAAGAACAATCCAACAATTAAATTTGTTCTTTGTCATCAAATCCATTTAATTTAAGAATTTTTTAATTTTTCATCTAAAAAATGCTCTTTTTTTGTTAATCCATAAGATTGATAAACTTTATCTAACTTTCAACTATATTTTGATACTCCTTAATGATAGCTCTTAAGTTTTTTGATTGATTTCCATTTATGAAGGCTAATTTTATTAAAATATTTACTTTATTATTTTTTCTCAAAATGCTTGATTATAATTTTTCCATTAATTTAGCCTTGCAATTTGTGAATATAAATTAACCATAAATTTAAAATTATTAATGTTTATTCAAGATCACTTTATTATTTATTTATTAAGGAATTGAATACTTAAATTTAATAAATTCTGTTTTCAAAATATATTTACATATTGAATTATTCTATGCTTCTTGGTGAATATACTTACCCTTCTTGTTCACTATCTTATGAAATTAATGGATGCTCAAATATTTGTACCCAACTTATCCTATCATCTTCAGAATATCTTAGCATTTATTTTATCAGCATAACAATAGAAGGCATATTATTTTAAGGGAAAGGTAGTCTATTTTGTTTTACTTCTGTAAAGAAATCTTCTAAATCGGATAATGATTTTGCTGATTCGTTTGGTAAGAATCCATATACAATCAAATAGAGGATCAAACCTAAAGACCAAACATCGCATTTGGATGAAAAATATGATTCAAACAGTTGAGGAGAAGCATATAATGGTGAGCATTTAACTGACAATTCTTACTTTATGTCTGGATTTAGAACAAATCTTGCAAATCCAAAATCTGCTATTTTAGCTTAATTATTTGAAAATACGATATTATCTGGCTTGATATCTCTGTGAATAATATTATTTCTAAACAATTCTTTATAGCCATTACAGAATTATTTAATAAATTATATTGTAGAATTTTCATCGAATTTTTATTTTTTCAATAATTATGTTAAATTACCACCTTCACAAAATTCAAAAACTTCATAAGAAATTTATTTGTCATCAAATGTTTCAATAAATTGCACTAAATTTTCATTTTTATTTATATTCTCATAAATTTTCAAATTAATTTTAAAGCATTGTTTTATCTCTTTTAATGCAAAATATTTCTTTGCACACTCAGCCTTATAAACCTTTCCTTCAGTTCCTGAACCAATAACATCCAAAATTTTATACTTTCCAATTTTTGTTTTCTTAAATCCATATTATTTGTCCATTAAGTATTTTAAGGAAAAAAATTACTATAAAATTTTGTAAAAAATTAATAATTTTAGATTATTTTTATGAATTCTTATGAATCTAATTGTGACTGAAATCATAAATATATATATAAATGATAAACTAAATATAAAATTATGAAAGTATTGGATGAGTGATTAAGTCATTTTTCCTGGATATAGAAATTGGAAGAATAAAAAATTGTTTTTAGGGAAACTTTTAATATAAACATCATTTCTTAATATAATTAAATTTTATGGAAAAATTAATTTTAGTTTAGTATTATTTTTTTGATTTGAATTTCACCTCTGAACTTACTACTTTTCAATAATTTTTCGAACGATTAAAATATAAGTTAAATCACATAAATTATTTTATATCAATTGATATATAAACAAAAGATTAATTCTTAAAAACATTAATTTTAATAATATATGAATATGTCTAATTAGATTCCTAATGGATATGCATTAGAAACACCATTCAAAATTTAAAATACTAAAATTGGGGTAGTTTAAAAGATTCTCTATTCAATTGGCAAAAATCCAATAGTATAAAGAAGAGCGAAAGATCAGAATAGAATGAATATTGAAGGGGCTTTTATCAACCGTAATACTTATGAATGATATATAAAACCATATTGATTTTGGATTAAAAATACTTCATGTATTTTCTTTAGTATGATTACTGATCGAATTGATTATCATATTTCTTGAAAATATTGATATGAATTATAATCAATTATAGATAAAATCTTGGTCTTTTTGGAAGTTAGTATTTTTCTTAATACATTTTCTATAGACAAAAAAATCAATAGCAAAAAGTATTGTAAATTCTCATAAAAAAACAATTCATATTGTCATTCATATCCACAAAATGCTCCTGAATGTATAAATATAATAAAAACCTGGTTTTTGAGAGAGAATTTTTTGAGAATCACTAGTGTCTTCACAAGTTTTACAACCAAAAGATTTTTTGATTTCAAATTGGTAAGGATCATAAATTTTGTCATTATTAGACTTGTAAAAAGTTTGATTGCAATTATCTATATGAGGTAAGAACAAAGAATTAGATTCTAAAAATTCAATAGTAATTAATTAAAGAGATGAAGAACTAAAGAATTAAATGATAATATACACTTTTTATTCAGCTTAAAAAGTAAAGAAATGTTCTAGGAGTAGTCATGGCACTTAGTTGAGAAGCAAACTTTGTTTATTTACAAGAAGAGAATACTACCTAATAATTATGAATATAATTAAATATGCTATATTAAGATGTATATGTAAGTTAATAGTTTATATATCGATTGTTTTTTGTTGGAATTTTTTGAATCAGTGACATTAGCTTTTCTAGGATTTTTAGGAAATTTTCCTTGTTTTGGATCACACAAAGAACTTTTCATACTCGTATCAAATAAATCTCTATCTTTTTCAAAGATGGTATCAAGGGAAATAAACTCAAGTTAAACTCCATCTTAATTATGATATTTACAAAAACATGTGTATTTTAATAGAATCAAAATGTGCTCATTTTTTAATTATTCTGAGGTTCTTTATCTATGCCAATAAATTATATTCGCTAAAAATATATATCTATAGTATAACTTAAGTAATTTGAAAGAAATGTTATAATCTATAACATAAATTTTTTATTGAATTAATCTATTGATTATAAAGATGGTAATGGTTGGAATGGAATATTATTTTGAAACATAGAAACAAATGATAAAATAATAAATCCTTACAAAACCAAAAAATGAATAATTAAGAATAATATAATATTATTACTTATAAGTTTACAGAGTATTTTGAGAATAAGAGAAGATAAATAAAATTTGAATATTTAAAAATAAAAGTCTTACAAGATGAATTATGAAAAGATGATGATAATTGGGTAGAGATATGAAATAAAAAGTAGATTTTAAAAATAAAGAAAAAAATAAGATAGATTAAGTGGAGATGTGAAATAGATATAATATAAGAGAGAAATTAGATTTGAATAAAATAATTTTATTGATTTGCCTCATTAATAAAATATATTGAAAAGTTGACTGTTAATTAAATTTAATGTAAAATAACTCACCAATTAAAGGTCGACGTATATCAAACCAGATAAAGTTGACAGGGAAGGTTCTAAAAAAGAAAACAGGATCAGAGATAGAGATCGTAGGTCCTTCTGGAAGAGATATGGATACGAGTGTGGTTGCGAAAATTTAAATAAATTAGTACGAGAATCTGAAATGTCATATGCAACAGTGTCAAAGTGAAGTTAAAGTAGGAAAGAGTACAGAGAAGATAAAAAAAAAAAAGTCGCTAGATCGTACTGCTGCAATTAAGAAAAGTCAGCAATTGTATAAGAAAAAGAAGAAATCGACAAAAATAAAAAAGAGTGTTAGTGCAGAGAGAGTAAAGAGCCAAACAATAGAGTTTTCATCTCCAGAATGTGTACGTCGTAAAAAAGCAGCTACATTTTTTAATGAAAAACCAAATGGTTTACAAGATCATCGTGAACGTCTTGGACTTACTTTTTTAAATAAAATAGGGACAAAGAGAATTGATTAAATATTAGAGCGTATTAAAGTGATTCTATAGGGTTAGGTAATAGAATGTCATCAATAGAACATTCAAATCATCCACCACTTACACCTGAGAAACATCGTTATCCTCATGAAATAAAACATTATATGAAAGAGAAAAAGAAGTTTTATTCATAATTAGAATCAATAAAATAATAATCAATGTTANTCAAATAAATCTCTATCTTTTTCAAAGATGGTATCAAGGGAAATAAACTCAAGTTAAACTCCATCTTAATTATGATATTTACAAAAACATGTGTATTTTAATAGAATCAAAATGTGCTCATTTTTTAATTATTCTGAGGTTCTTTATCTATGCCAATAAATTATATTCGCTAAAAATATATATCTATAGTATAACTTAAGTAATTTGAAAGAAATGTTATAATCTATAACATAAATTTTTTATTGAATTAATCTATTGATTATAAAGATGGTAATGGTTGGAATGGAATATTATTTTGAAACATAGAAACAAATGATAAAATAATAAATCCTTACAAAACCAAAAAATGAATAATTAAGAATAATATAATATTATTACTTATAAGTTTACAGAGTATTTTGAGAATAAGAGAAGATAAATAAAATTTGAATATTTAAAAATAAAAGTCTTACAAGATGAATTATGAAAAGATGATGATAATTGGGTAGAGATATGAAATAAAAAGTAGATTTTAAAAATAAAGAAAAAAATAAGATAGATTAAGTGGAGATGTGAAATAGATATAATATAAGAGAGAAATTAGATTTGAATAAAATAATTTTATTGATTTGCCTCATTAATAAAATATATTGAAAAGTTGACTGTTAATTAAATTTAATGTAAAATAACTCACCAATTAAAGGTCGACGTATATCAAACCAGATAAAGTTGACAGGGAAGGTTCTAAAAAAGAAAACAGGATCAGAGATAGAGATCGTAGGTCCTTCTGGAAGAGATATGGATACGAGTGTGGTTGCGAAAATTTAAATAAATTAGTACGAGAATCTGAAATGTCATATGCAACAGTGTCAAAGTGAAGTTAAAGTAGGAAAGAGTACAGAGAAGATAAAAAAAAAAAAGTCGCTAGATCGTACTGCTGCAATTAAGAAAAGTCAGCAATTGTATAAGAAAAAGAAGAAATCGACAAAAATAAAAAAGAGTGTTAGTGCAGAGAGAGTAAAGAGCCAAACAATAGAGTTTTCATCTCCAGAATGTGTACGTCGTAAAAAAGCAGCTACATTTTTTAATGAAAAACCAAATGGTTTACAAGATCATCGTGAACGTCTTGGACTTACTTTTTTAAATAAAATAGGGACAAAGAGAATTGATTAAATATTAGAGCGTATTAAAGTGATTCTATAGGGTTAGGTAATAGAATGTCATCAATAGAACATTCAAATCATCCACCACTTACACCTGAGAAACATCGTTATCCTCATGAAATAAAACATTATATGAAAGAGAAAAAGAAGTTTTATTCATAATTAGAATCAATAAAATAATAATCAATGTTAGAGAAAAGAAAACATATAGATGAGAATCTACGTTCATTAGCTGAAATTGCCAAAAGAAATTCTCTTTCTAATAGTAGATCTCCTCCTAGGGATAGTACAAATAAAATTAGTGCAAAACCACTTATGTTAAGTTATGTAGCTAATCGTAAAAGTACGTCACGTAAATCAGGAGTAACAAAATCTTTGAAGGAGCAATTTAAATAATTAGAAGCTAGATATAAAACAATAAAGAGTAATAGTGATGTTATATCATTGAGAGAATCCAGAAATTATGAACATGAAATGAAAGAGTAAGCAGCCAAATGTATTTAGAGATGGTATAAAGGATGTAAAGCAAGAAGACTTTGGTAGAAAAAAAAATAAAAAAAATTATTTAAAAAATAATAATTATAATAGTTAAAAGATACAGAAATTATAAGATGGGATAATCTCAAGAAATTCCTATAAAATTTATAAGTTAAATAAGATATCATTGTAATCGCAGATTTAATTGAAAGTTTAATTAAATATGCAGATTTCAATAAAGAAAATGTATTATAAAATAATATAGAATAACCATAAATTAAATTAAAACCTTAAAAATTGATTATTGAAAAAAAAGAAGTATTTCCTCCATAAATTGGTTAAATTTTATAACTTCGAGGTGAATTAATAAAAGAAAGAGAAAGAAAAGAAAAACAGATATTAAAAGATCTTTTAGTATAGGAAAGAATATCACCTCGTTCTTTTGGATTGAAAGAATAAGAAATAGTTAAATGGGGTGAAAAAGAATTAGAAGCATTATAAAATAGTAAATAAGCTATTAAAGATGGATGGTTTAAAGCTTATGAAACAATTTAAAAGACACAAAAAGATTTACGTTTTGTTTAAAAATTAGGTGATGAAAATTTTAGTAAAATGATGCCATTAAGTGTTAGTTAAAGTAATTTATTAAAAAATTAACTTAATGATTTGAAAATAAATGTAAAAATAATGAATAATTAATAGTTATTGAGAGCTAGTTATTCTGAAGAGAATCTTTTAGATTAAAAAAAGAAACCATTACAAAATTCAGAATAGTTAGTAGATGTCTAAGAATAACAATTAGTATCATATAACTCGAATCAATCAAATAAGACATTATCATCATATATATAAGGTTTAGAAGTAATTTATTACCTAAGTAAGGGATGTTCCATTAGATATGGAGGAGTAGGGATAAATGGAGAATCAGTTTTATGTGTAAACACATGTTGGCTATGTTAAATAATATTTAGAGGATATCAAAATTATAGTTAAAAATCAATACTAGAATTAATTTTTATAAATTATTAATTTAAGTATTGGTCCATCCCCCTTTGAAATTTTGAGATTTTTTAGGTTGACTGAAGAAATGTTAGAATAATCATTAGATGGTGGATTTATACATTAAGCAGTTTTGAGTTTAGATATATTTTCATTCAAAGAAAAAGTTGGGACTGAAGAACTCTGTGTTAATGAAATGGAAAGAATTCACAACAAAGCAATTTTTGATGCTTTTAATGAAGCACTTGATTATCATCGTCCTTTTGGTATTAAAGGTAGACCATTACCTTGGAGAAAGAATGTTATTTATAGACAAGTGAATTCTGTTGAAGAAACACTTAATAGATCTGCAAATAGAGTTGTATAATGGGCTGAAACTTTAAGTGGCATACTATTACCATAGGGTACTTAAGTAGATAATGATATTTTACCATAAGTTAGAGAAGAAAGATTAGATAAGATGTTAAAGTAGGAAGTAAATTAGATATTCAATATTCATAGATATCCGAAACAGATGATAGATGGTAGGAATTTGATGAGGAACACACTGAAGTAGCATTGGAGTTGAGTGAATTAATTTTCAATCATCTCATTACTGAAGTTATCACTGAATTAAGAATTTGATATTAATTTATTTTATATTTAATCTATGTCTCATTTTTATTTTACTATTCAAAACAAATTAATTAGTTACTATCAAAACAACTTTGCTAGAAGTGTTATTGTGTTCTTTTTTTAATATTCTTTTAATTCCTCATGTTTTTTCACTTTTTAATCTAGCTAATATCAGTTTTTGTTCTAAAATTTTCGATTTCATACATCCCAATTTGTTGTATTCTCATCATTTTAAATTTTCCATATCTTTACACTTTATATTAAGAGCCTAAAAGGAGATATGTACATCATTTGTACTACTTTACTTTTCGGTTTGATTTCGTCTTTTTATCTTTAATAATACTAGATCTCCTTTTAATTTTACCATATCATCTTATTAGATAGTATAAATATATATATATATAATATTCATAGCAATTATTAATAAGTTAAAACTAGCAGTCTATTTTTGAAGCTTTGATATATTCTTTTACCTAATTCTTAATGCAATCCTAAATTTAATAAACTGATTGCACTAGGAATACATTATAATATATCTTTTAAAGAATATTTAATTGTGACATTCTTACAATTTTTCATACTCTCAAAATACAAATGAAACTTTCTTCTATTTTCTTAATAAAAAATGGAAACATATATCTATGTTGGTTTCATTGTAAAAATCATTCTCTTTAATAGCACATATTAATATTACTATTATATAATAATTGACACATACTTTAAATGCAGCATATTACTTATAATTAGCATTAACTTTTATTAATTATGGACATTTCTCATCTCCCATAACATCTTAAATGATGAATGTACTTGGATTTAATTTTAATTGCTTTTTCAATTTATTCAGCATGTATACTGAACATTTCTATATATCTGATTGAATAAATTCATATGACTCCACAAATGAATCCTTTAATTTTAAATTCTATAGATTTCTCCTTTCATCATTATAATAGCTATATAAGACTTTCCGTAACATTAATTTAAAGTTAATAACCTTAAGTTCTTCAAATAGAGTAATTCTTTAGTAGAGTTAAAAGTTTTAGCTTTCATTTAATCTGATAGGAACACAACCTTTAAACATATCCAATGGTTTTCGAACATTCTCTACAAATACTTCGAACAAAGCATTTACTTCATTACCTAAATAAACTACTTATGTATAGAGATTTTCTCTGAGGACTCCTTAAAATGAATCAAGATTAAAAATGAAATGATTTTAAGAGTTCTTAGTTATTGTTATTTTATTCATTAGAGTTTCCCAAATCTTTATTTCAAAAGTTGAAATCATATCAAGATTATTTTTTCTAACAAGTATTTAATTAAAAAATAAATCTTTATCGCTTTAATAGTAATTTTCCATACTTCCTTGATTCGAAATTCGTGGACTATGTTTAAAAAATAGACTTTTATCTGTACGAGGAATATTTTATTAAACAGGTAATGTTAATCGATTTAAATTACCTAATGAATTTTATATACTATATTGTTTAGCAATTTGTTTTTTCAAAAATATTGGAGGCTAAGTCGAAGACCTTACATTCTATCTACTTTAATCACTAAAAGATTCAAGTATTCTAGGAGTTCCATCATTTGGTTTTTCAAGCAATTCATCTTCATTATTAATAGATACTTTGCTCTCTGTTAATTTTTATAATTCTAATTATGGAATAGCTCTTGCTTAACTCCTCATTTCACTATAAAAATCTTCAAATTCATCTGGATGATTTACTGCCATTTAGTAAATCTTACTGATTTCAGAGAATTTCCATCTATTTATATAAAATTAATCGATAGTTTCTTTTGTTACTAAACATGAAGGAAATACAGATTCTAAAAAATTAGGACTCATTTATTAAAAATCACTTTATTGGATATAGCAACTAAAATTTCTACAAGTTTATGGAATGTACAATCCTATTTGAAATTTATTAATTGAAAGATAAGAGACAGTGATAATTACATACATAGAATTAACAACTTTAGTAGTTTTATATATAAATTTTTATCCTCTAAATACTGCAGTCAACATAGAAGTATTTTTTAATATTCTGCTAGCCTCCTCAGGTAATTATAAATTTTCAATTTAAACATTCATAATTTGGGTTTATGATTTTTTACGAAATCCATTTTCATTTAATAAAATCGATAGTTTAGGTTAAGAAGGTCTCGAATTTTATTATTCTTCCAATATGTTGCTTCCATATGTAACTTCAGTAAATGAATTATGAAGATCATATTTTGATTGATTAATGATATATGACAATGGTATTTTAATTCCATGATAAGTATTGGTTCTATAACAAATTAAATAGGCTGTTAAAATTTTGAGAATATCATGTAAAATCTTATTGTTAAAACAATTATTGAATGTAACTTTTGAATAAATGCTTTTAATGTCTGCAAGATCTAATACTAATTTAAATATTTTAGTTCGACTTTCTTAAGGAGTTATTTAGAAATAAAAGTAAGTATGTTCTCCATTTTCTTAATCGAAATAAAATTTATTGAATTAATAGATTTCACATTCTACAAAGACCTTGCCTATATTGCTGACTCTACTCTAGGCATTAAATGTTTTTCTAAGAAAATAAGTATTCATAAAATATCTTAAACGACTTGATGAAATTAAAGTTAATTTCAATTGTTATTTAAAATAATAAAAAAGAATAGTTTGTTTTAATAGTCTTTGATTTTCATTTCTGATGAACTACAAAGGATCTAAAATGTACATTAATAAAAATTGATCTAAAGCACTATACTTATCTCTATTTCTCTCTTCCAAAGTAATCTACTATCTTTTAAATTGTAATTCTTTGCCTATTAATCGACGTTAAATTTTGGATTATGATCTAATTTGTTGACCAATCAATTATGTTTTATTAAAGATGTGTAATATTTTTTCAAGATCTTGTTATTAATGTATTGTTCTATAATACATTAATCTTTAATTAGGATAATAAAGTCTAATTTTAATTTATAATTTTTTCTATCTTATGAGTTCATGCATATTCTTTTTCAGAATTATTAAATCTTATTTAGCCTATTGATCACTTAAATATAATAATTTTGTGTCAAAGACTTTTGTTTCTTTGAAACACACTTCAACTCTAAAATATGAATTAGTATCTTTAAAATAAAATTTGTTTTTCATAATATTAAATTTACTTCTATAATTTTTAAATGATTTTTCTTCTAAAATTTTCTCATCATAATTTTCATGTTTAGTATCATTCACAATAGACAACTAATAATTTTCTTCAGAATCCAATTAAGATTCTTTCTAATCAATGTTTAATTATGCAATTCTCTCTGAATAAATTAAACTATTAATATTAGTAAAAGGTAATAATTGATCGGCTTATAATTATTCATAAATTTCATTGCTAATCAATATATCATAATGATTAATTCTTTTAACATATCTGTCCAATAAAATCAATGTATGCCTCAAATTGTATGAAAGTAATTCTTATATTAATGATAATTTAATTATTTAATCTTCTTACATTAAAATATTGATAAGTTCTAATTTCTTTTTTTTACTGGGTAATCTTACTCCAAAATCAATGTTTATTTATTTTTTTACAGAACTTCCATCTTAATTATTGATAACTAGATAGCTTTAAAAATCCTATATCAATACATATGCAGTGAATAGAGTGTTTTTTTCCTTCAATATTAGATTAAGTGCAACATAGTTGTCTGGATATTCATTAATATATTATTCAGGTTCCGGTTGTATTATGATACCTTTAGGAGGAAAATAAGATTGCATATTCATTTGAGAATTAAATTTAATATCATGACCTTCTTTTGGTTAATAATCTTGGTAATCATCCAAATTTGCTAATTAGAATTCTGAAAAGTATTCTTGAACTAGTTAAATTTCTGATTGTGATCTATCCTTATATTCTTATAAATCTTCTAAACTTTTTTTAGATTAAGGTGGTTCATAAACTTCTCTTTACTTTTTAGCAAATTCTGAAAATTGACTACCAATTTTAGGAGCAATAGTACTTCTAATAAGTGCTTATGATGAGATAATAGGTTCAAATCTTAGACTTATCATATTATTTCTATTCTGAATAGTTGTATATTATTTTTTTGGGTTTCTTTAAGGAGATTATTTAACTTATTCTCTTTCAGAACTATTTTCAAATGATTTAAAATTAATAGAAGCACGTTTTTATTCATCAGATTGAGCTACATATGAATGAGAAAATTAAGATTTATTATCATCAGATTCTTAAATTTCAATACTTTATTCATGAATATGTTTCTCAGTATATATTTAATGTCTTCTTTAAGTAGATAAAGTAATTGTTGGTTATTCTTAATTTTGATATTCATGTTGATGTTGATATAAATGTTATTTAATAGGTTCATTTTTAAATTGTTTTAGAAACATAATTCTTTTTTATTCTTTTTCTATCTTTTTATTTCTTAAACATTTGGTATTGTCAATAATTTAATCGAGTAATTTTTTATTGATGGCATCTTTCATTGAAACTAATTTATATCCAACAATGGATCTTATGAGATAATAATAATTTTTAAGTACATACATTAATTTACCAACTAATTATTAAGCAATCTCAGTTTTTAAGAATACAATAGTTTTACAAGTATTTGGTTAATATAGATTTTATTATTTACAATATATACTAAGTAGACCATTAAAATTTTCTAAACGATCTTTACAAAACCATCTCTAATATTCATCAAGATAAGTAACAAAATTATTGATTTTGAAATTGAGATTGTATTATTAATCATCATTTTATAGTGAGAAGTAAACAATAAGTTATAATGCAATAATTGATTGTTAATCAGTGAAAATGTTCATTATATGTTCTAATTAATGTTCTACAATATAATGGAGGAAATAAACTACTTATTTGTGCAGGTGTATTGTAAAATTAAGTTGGTTCATCATCATCTAATTCGTTATTAGTTTAACCCACATCACTGGAAGCACATATGGATATATTTGATAATTTCCAGAATTTGATTTAATCATCAAAAAACAATTTACCTAGAAAATACAATTCTTATTCTGGGAGATTATAGAAATCAACAATAATTGATACTAACTAAAATAAATTTATATAATAAATGTTTACAGTTTTTGCTTTATTTGTACTAATTTATTCAGCTTCATTGTTTTTAATTTCTCTAACAATTTAATCAAATCTGCCTCCTTTACGAATAGAATTTTTGAGTTCTTTAACAGATACTTTCATAGAAGCTCTATTAGTTGAAACAGATTCTTATTTATCATTATAAATAATTTGACTTTATCTTCTTGAAATAACCAAAGGTGTATATTCAATATTTTGAGAGGTAATAATTTTTTTGATATTGCATTTATATTTTCTAAAATAGTCTTAAATAATATTTGCTGCGAAATTTAATTATTCAATAGTATATTTATTCAATAGATCTGTGTAGAGATTGTCACTTTCTTCTGTGATCTCAGTTTAGACATTTAAAAGGAGAGGAATAAGAATTTATTATTAAGGAGATTATTATTATTATTATTATGCGAATAGTGATTCAGTAGTAGGTATTCTCATCTCATCTAATTATTATTATTATTATTAGATATTCAAATCTTGAACAGTATATATTTTGGTTAATTTTTATTCACTTTATTGAGTATCAGATTTATTATGTATCATATTTTAAGTATTTTATTTATTTAATATTTTTGGTATAAGTCTATTAGATTTAATTTTCTTTTTATTAATAATAATCTATTGAGTTGTATCTTGTTATTTAGTAGTTTTCTTTCTTAATTAAAAATGTTCAGATTTAAGTTAAGGTCTAGTGAGCATAATTTCATCTATAGGTTCTGTTTTTAATTATGCTTCTTACAACTATACTCTAAATTGGATATTAATTAAATACTTCAATTTATCCATATAATTTTCCATCAATTAACTAGTTCTTTATGATTGCATTGCCAAAGATAATCTAGGTGAAAATAACTTATCTTAAGAAAGAAGTGATTAATTAATATAAGTAGAAGCTGCTCTTGATGATAGTTTCAAGTGTTTAATTTGAAACGGCTTTTCTTATTATTAATATTCTTCAATCTATTTTTAATTTGATATAGTCTTCAGTTTTTCTTCGTATTCCTATCTCACTTTCTTTACATACTCTGGCATTTGATATTTAGTAGAATGTGATGACAGTTGTCTAACTATTGATTAATAAGATTTCACTTATTTCTACATATGATGCTAATCAATATTAAACTCATTAATTATACATCAAAATTTTTATTTGGTTTTAATGTGGGTGCTTTACGCAATAAATCTTAACCAACATCTTTTTATAGATCTGCTTTGAATTATTGAAAATCTACTTTCTCATGACCCATAATCATTTCAAATTCCATCTTCTAACTTAATTTTTCATATTTATCTCTTGCCTTCATAGTAGTAGGTGCATCTGTTCCAAATATCAATTCCTAAATCTACCAGGCTTTATATAAATTTCTTAATGATTCTCTCTCAAATCCTACATTAAATTATGATTTCCCTATATAATAAAATGCTCTTGCTAACATCATAAACCATTTTCTATATTCTTAATGAAACTCCTCTTATGTTAATGTCCTCAAAGAATCAAATGAGATACCCAATCTTTACAAAATGTCAACTAATTTGTTAAGTTAATCTAACATATCATCTTTACGATGCATCATTCTACAAACTTCACTTCCATGAAATAATAATTAGGCATACAATTTTAATACTTACTTATCTTCTTCACTTATATTCACTCTTTTTGAATAAGCAAATTTATCCATAAAAGGCAACACCTCTCTTAAATTCATCCAAGCCTTTTAAAATTAACCTTATTATTCATACAATTATGAAATCTACAATATTGCATGACCTCTTGATTTAACAAAGGTATTTGTATAAAATATACCACTTGTTATTGATATTGGCGTAGTTATCTATATATTCCTGATCTTTCTCTATACCTCTTTTGCTCTATTAAAAAACATTTCTGCTTATGTATTATTTCCCTATTTCAAAAGAATTCTTCCATCCTTTATCAATGTATTTGCAAAATCTACTGCTGCATTCACCACAAGTGGAGACTCCCATCCATTCTAAGACAAAGTCTACATATAAAACCTTTCCAATCTCTACAAATTCAACAATTATCCCTATTACATATATATATATTTATATTAGTCATAACATATTTCATTATTATTATACAATATAATATCTCAATTTTATTATTTTAATTATTATCCTGCCTTTTCTCTTTCCTCTACAATCTAATTCTAATCACCACACTTTCACTATCTCCACTATTACAAACTTTATACTCCTATCTCCTTCCTTACACACTTTTATTTTTTAGCTCTTATCCACTTCATTTTGGATCAACATTTTTTAAACAATCTATCTCAATTATTCTCCTATTCTTAATTTTTCATATAATTATTATGATTCAGAAGAATATAAAAATTATTATTAAAAATCAAATTAACATAACTCTTTTTTTATAAATACTCAAAATTATATATTCACATTTATTTTTTTATTAATTTAGCCTATTGACCAAAATACAATTCATTAAATATTATTCTTATCAAACAAAGACTTTTTCATAAAACAACCCAAAAAATTAATTAAACACATCAATCCCACTTATTTCATCTATTTAATTTCCATTCAAGTCTCTTTTACTTAATTATGTGATATTTATATAAATATATTATTATTCTATTTTTTCATTTTTTGTAGGCTTCCATCTGGGAATCCAAATATTTTCAATAAAACTAATTATATTGAAATAAATGATTCAGTCTTTTATTTACATGGCCAAGTAGAAAACTAGGCTTTAAAAAATAACAACAAATAATTTGAAGAGCAGTTTAATATAAAATCATCAGAAGTAACTTAGAATCCTATAAAATTCATTAAAACATTTGCGATAATTTAATTTTCAATTTAAATTACTATTTTAATTTATTATTTATTAAATATGATATTTCTTCTATCTATTCATGATATTCATAACTTAAAAGCACATATCAACATAACACAATAAATTCTTACTTAGAAAATTTTAAAAATCCCTACAAAACGTTTTGATTTCTAGACAAAAGAATACTATTTACTGTTGAAATTCTATTTAAGCAAATTCAAGATATTTACTCAAATATTCTATAATACTATCTCCACTAGCTAAATTTATAATATCTTTCTCTCTAATTCTGCCTGTTTAATTGATATATTATCAAAATGCATAATATTCACTATAAGTAATAGAAATCTGATCACAAATAATAAGACACCTACTCTAATTGTTTTTTGTCTCAATTAATTTTTTTAGAAATAGACATTAAAATTATTTTTTATAACTCTACACAGTTTTTTTTTTCTTTTTTAACCATTTTTTGATTTAATAAAAAAGCATTTAATTCTTTTAAAATACCTAATAAGGATGTGACACTTTGAATAATAAAAATAAATCAATTCTAATACACCTTCAACTTTTTAAAAATTTTTTAGAATTTTTGATTCAAAGATATAAACAAAATAATTTAAAAATGGATAGTGATACTTTTTGCTGATGTAAATATATTTAGTTTATTTTAAATACATCTTTGTAAATAATAATTTTTTTGTTCAAAAGTAAGTATAGTCATTTCCCTATAAAGATAAGAGTAAATGCTATCATTAATTTTATTCTAAAATCTTTAAGCAATTGTTCACCATTATATTTTTACTATTACTAAAAGATTTTCCTAAATCGGAGTATTCTTGGAAAAGCTGAACATAGATTAATTTTTTTTAAGTTCCTTATTTTGGACTACTAATTCATATTACTATTTTTGAAATGGTATCAATAAATTCATGATGATAATTTCAACAAATTATTTTCATTTGAACTAAGTAATTAGTAAGTTTGTTTAATAAGTTATTGTTTTTTCATTCTATTTAGGATTGCTTGTTAGTAAATAAGGAGATAGATATCTTTTTTTTTATTGAGTTCATTATATATTATCTATAGTATATTAATGTATCAAAATTCAAGCATTTGGTTATTTCATAATTTAAAATACAAATGAAGAGATTTGGACAAGTTCTAATCTTGATTTATTGGATAACTCTAATACAACATTGTAATGCAGCATCAAATTCTCTAATTGTTTCGAATGCAGCTTGTACTTGTTCTCAACTTTTAACAGAAAAAGAATGTAGAGAACGATTATGCTATTGGAACAACAATAAGTGTTCCAAAATAACAATAAACCCTACCAATTATTGTGAATCAATAAAATTAGAAGAATGCAAAAGTACAGCTGGTTGTGCTAGTGTATCAGAGAAATGTGTTTCATTTTCAGGATGCAATGCCTACTAATATCCAACGAATGAGACTTGCTAAAACATTTCAATTACATGTACAACAGATGGAGAATAATGTATAGAATTAGATAAGTGTAGTAATTACACAAATAAGGTAAGTTGTGTAAAAGATGAAAACGGGAAGTTTTGCTATTGGAATGCTGAAAAAGGTTTATGTTAATTACCAACTACGTGTGATCTATTACCAAGTTCTTTGAATTCAGATACCTTATGTAGGGCATAGATTAATAGTTGTACAATTAAAGATGGGGGTGGATGTGAAATAAGTGGAGAAAAATGTGAGAATCAGAAACTTGAAGGATCATGTATTTCAAGTCTTGATTAAAAAAAGTTATGTATTTGGGATACAAATCAATGTAAAGAGAAAACATGTTTAAATGCACCTTCTACTAATATAACTCATGAATTATGTTCAAAATATTTACCAACATGTACAGTAAATGATACACTAAATGGATGTTAAGATATACCAGTCTCATGTACAGCTTCTAAAATTTAAAACAATTGCGTTACTAATAGCAATGGATAAAATTGTTATTGGAATAAAAACAATTCAAAATGTGAAGATAAAAATTGTGATAATGCAACTGATGAGTATTAAAGTCATGATTAATGTTAATAGTGGCTTCCTTCATGCACAGTTAAATCTGGAGGAATAGGTTGTTAGACTAAATCTACTGATTGTACTAAATATACTTCTCTAAATTAATGTTTTAAAACTTTATCTGGAGATGATTGTTTTTGGAATGAATCAAAATGCTTATTAAAATCTTGTGAAAATGCTCCATCAGCTAATATCAATGATGATATGTGTTCTACATTTTTACCAACATGCACTGTTCAAACTGACTTAACAGGTTGCGAAAAGAAGAAAGCTACTTGTTCTCTTTATACAAATTAAGATCAATGTGTATCATAATTTGATGGCAAATTATGCATATTTTAAAAGGACTTGTGTATTGAGAGAATTTGTAACAATGCTTCTGAAGAACTCACTAATGAATAGGAATGTAAATCTTTTTCGCCTACTTGTATGGTCAAATCTGATTACAAAGGATGTATTTTACAAGAATGTAAAAATATCTAAACTAAAGAAAATTGTAAATCAGATTACTAGAATAAATAATGTTATTATGGATTATAATGTTAATTGAGAAGCTGTGATAATGCTCCTACTACATTTAAAACAGATGCAGAATGTAGAGAGTTTTTGAATTCATGCACAGTTAACTAGGAACTTAAAGGATGTATTGAGAGACCAGAATCATGTGATAAATTGAATGAATCATAATGTTCTATGCTAAGTGATAAGACAACAAAATGTAGTTGGAATGATAATGACGAAAATAATAAAGCATGCAGATTATTAGATTGTTCAGATATAGCACCAGCATCATAAACAAATGAAACTTGTAGTAACTTTGATTAATCTTGTACAGTTGCTGAGAATCCAAGCACTTGTATGTTGAAACCATTAGGTTGTTCATTAATGCTAAACAAAGAACATTGTTAAAGTGTAGTTCTTTCAGATATGAAATCAACTTGTAGTTGGGATAATGAAAATTCTCTCTGCAGAGATCGTTAATGTTCAGATGCGGATTAAAATATTAAAACTTATGATGATTGTAGAAGATATTTAGGAATTTGTATATTAAGCCCAACAGGAAGTGGATGTGTCAATGAACCAACAACATGTAAAGGTTACAAATCAAAAGAGGTTTGTCAAAAATTAGTTTCTAATCCTAATAACATAATTTTATGTGGATGGAATGGATGTGAAAGTAGAACTTGTTTGAATGCACCTGTTTTGACATCTGGATCCTTATATACACATTCCTTATGCAATAAATATTTATAGTCATGTACAGTTAATCCTGAATAAACTGGTTGCATTCCTCAATTCACATCATGCGAATAAATTAATAATCTATTTCAATGTAATGAAACTATCTTATTAAGTGGAGCAAGATGCTATTATGATGTTTCAACGGATCCTTATTTCTGTAGAGATTTTAAATGTGTTGATGAAACTTAATCATTAATGACACATGAAACATGTTAGGCTTTAAGTAATCAATGTACACTTGGCGAAAGTGGTTCTGGATGTGTTGATTTACTAAGTTCATGTGCAGAAATTAAAGACGTGTAGTAATGTGAAGGAACTATACTGACATTCAATCGTAGATGTAGTTGGGATACTGATCCTAACCCAGGTACTGAATCTTCAATTCCAGTTTGTAAGGAAAGAGAATGCAAATTTAGTCCTACCAAAGATACATCAACTGCTTGTGAAAATTATTTAACAACTTGCACTTTAGGTGATTTAGAGAAAGGATGTATTGATAAACCTACATAATGTAATGGTTTAGATTAAAAACTATGTAATAATGTAAAATTAGTTGATGGAACATATTGTTCATTTGATAGTACCATAGTTGAGGAAAATTTATAATGTCATGCTAGAATTTGTGCAGATGCTCCTACAAAATATTAGACTGATGCTGAATGTAGAACATGGCTTCCTAATTGTACAGTAAAATCTGATGAATCTGGATGTGTTAATGAACCTAGTGATTGCACATAGATGTTGAAACTATAATGTTCTAAATAATCTTAAAAAGGATAAACTTGTTTTTGGAATGCTAATGCTAATCCTGCTAGTTGTAGAGTAGCTTTATGTACTGATGCAAGTACAAGTGTATATATAACTGATGCTCTTTGTAGAACATATAGATCTGATTGTACAGTTGCTAAAGCGAATGGATGTATTACATAACCAACTTCTTGTGCTTCTTTGGATTAAGATCATTGTCCTAAAGTTACTGTCAATGCAGCTAATAAAGAAGTTAGTGAAAATAAATGTAGTTGGAATCTCTCAACGTCAGCATGTCAAGATAGAGTTTGCATTGATGCACCAAACTCTATTAACACTGAGGAAGATTGTAGAAAATGGCTTAAAACTTGTACGCTTGGATTAACTAATTAAGGATGTATTACTGAATAGACCTCATGTGATTTAGTTTAAACCTAAAATTAATGTTCAGTTTTATCTAATGGTACCAAATGTGGATGGAATACAGGTTGTGTTAATAGAACCTGCTCTAATGCTCCTGATACTTATACTTCTGATGAGCAATGTAGAACTTATCTTCCAATTTGCACTGTTTAAGCAGATGGAACTGGTTGTGTTATTAGAGCATCTAAGTGTGCTGATATTTTAGTTGATAAATAATGTATTAAGGTTAATGATTATAAATTATGCTAATGGAATTCAACAAAATTGAAATGTGAAGATAGAGCATGTACTAATGGTCCAATAACATTAATAAATCATGAGATGTGTCATTAATTCTTACCTACTTGTACAGTGAAGGCAAGTGGTATTGGATGTTAAACTTTATTTGATAAATGTTCTACTTATACCATAGATAAACATTGTGTAATAACTTCATTGAATACGGATTGTCAATGGATTATGATTTCTGGGACGGGATAGTGTGTAGATATCTTTGAAGCTTGTTCATCGTATGGAATTGAAGGAGCTTGCACAGTTTAAAAGAATAATTAAAAATGTATATGGTTAAATGGATCATGTTATAACAGAGAGTGTGAACATGCACCAAAATCATATTCAACTCATGAGTAATGTTAAGAATATGGTAATTGTACAACAAATGGTTAAGGCTGCATAAATTATATAGGCTGTGATTAATATAAATATTCATCAAGTTGTGTGTAAGGAATTGATGGAAAGTGTACTCTTGTTAATTAATGTTAAAATATTAGTTGTGACTTAGCTCCATCAACTTATAAGAATCATTCTGATTGTTAAACATTTCTTCCCACATGTACAACAAATGGAAGTGGATGTGTATCAATAAAGAGATGTTAAGATGTTTATGTAGAAGAAGGTTGTAAGTTTAATGTTGATAATAAAGAGTGTGCATGGATGAATGGAAAGTGTTATGATAAGAGTTGTGATACTGCAGATGTATCTATTCAATCTGAAAAAGGATGTAGTGATTATTATCCTGAAGGAAATTGTACTACTAAAAAAGGAGGAGGGTGCGTTTCAAAAGGAAAGTGCAAAGATGCATAAATAGAAACAGCTTGTACTACTTAATTTGATGGATAAAAATGCTCATGGTAAAATGGAACATGCTAATTAAGATCATGTACAGATTTATTGGGTTACGATCATATTACATGTAATACAGCATAAGCTGATTGTACAACTGATGGATTTTAATGTACAATGATGAAAACATGTTCAAACACTCTAATTGAATAAGCATGTATCTAAGGAACAGATGGACCATGTAGATGGAGTTAAGGAAAGTGTTATAAATATACAAAATGTACAGATCTTATATTTACTACACATGTTCAATGCAATTCTATACATCCATAATGCACAACCAATGGTACATATTGTGTTGCTATAACTAAGTGTTCCAAAACACCTAAGGTTGCTTGTTTTGTAGGTATCACCAATAATGAGATTGGTAAATGTATTTGGACGCCTACTTCAGTAAAAGCATCAGCTTCTCATTAATGTATAAGTTTCCTTGATTGCACAAATACTTTATATCTTAATCATAATGATTGTTATTCTTACTCACTTGGTTAGTGTACTAGTGATGGTGTGTATGGCTGTATTAAATTAGATAATTGTATAAATTATAAAGTCTAATCAGCATGTTTTATTGATAAATCTGGAGTTACAATTAATTCTGCTGGTGCAATCACATAAACAGGTAAATGTAAATGGTCTGTTGACAAATGTGTTGCTTAAGGTTGTTCTGATCTTAATGGATCTAGTCATGCTGAATGTAATAGCTAAATGGTTACATGTACATATAATGGAAAGAATTGTGTAGTATAAGGTACTTGTAGTGCTTTTACTACTAATGATTCATGCACAGTTGCAACAGGAACAGATGGTAAATGCTTTTGGGATAGTAGTGTTTGTTAACCAATGAAATGTGAAGATTATCCTATTACTTTGTGTTCACTTTATTCATCTACATGTATTTAAGATGGATCTACTTGTGTTTAACTTAAGGATTGTTCATAGTATAAAACATAAACAGCTTGTGATTATGGTAGTCCAAATAGTGTATGTGCTTGGATTATTACAACAACGAATAATAAAGGGAAATGCGTTGAAGTCACTACTTGTACAATAGCTACGGTTTATGAAAAGGCATGTAAGAGATTATCAGATAGATGTTATTGGTAAACAATAACAGTTGCAAATTCTACTGAACACATCTGTGCTCCTAAAACTTGTGAAATATAAACTAGTACAACATGTACAGGATTTTATGATTGGTCTCTTAAAACATATACTGTCTGTTAATTTAGTCCTCAGGGTAAATGCATATCAACTGATCCAACTAGCTTATAATAAAATGTTTGTCCAATATCTACCTTATATTAATACACCTGGAACCCAACTACAAATAAATGTGCCATTTGCAATTCAGTCTAAACCAATAATACGACTCAATAAAATTAATCAAATACAACTCAAGATAGTTCAGCTCTCATCTTATCCATTATTGTATTTCTTGCCTTAGCTATTTGATTATCCATATTGATATAAATATATATATATATATTTCATTTATAATAAGTCGACCCTATATATGAGGAAGGCTACTTCTAAATTATTACTCTGCTATCCATTGGTAAAATTCGACTTTGAGGCAACATCTAAGTCTGTGGTATTGCTTATTATCTCACCATCTTAAAAATGCTTTTTGGTTTTCCTTATTATTGTTAAAATTATTGCTATTGTTGTTATTGTTATTATTATTGTTATTATAGCAATTTCTCATAATTCAGTAGTTATTTCAAAAACCCTGTATTTGGATTCACCTATCTTCTTTTAGATTTCAATTTCCACAATGCTTTTTCCATATTTAAATTATATTTTCTCATCAAATAAGCTACGACTATTGTTGGAGATCTACTGATTCCTAAAAAACAATGAACCAATATATTTGTATGTTTTCGATGTCTCTCTATAAAGTCAAATGTTTAATCTGCAAATTACAATATATTATAATCATCTTTATCGTGTGCTTATACGACATGATGAAATTAAACAACCAAATCACTATATTAAACTGCTGTTTCCTAACTTGCTGTTAACACTGCTCTTATTTTTAATCTCTTAAGCATCTCTAAATCCTTTGCTCCCTCATATCCTCCTACATATATTCCTCCTTCTTCATGAGCTAATTGAAATCTAAATTTAATCATACTTGCATCAACTATACATGTGATCGAATCAGGATCCACTATCTATGGTACTGAATAAACGAACTTTAATTCTTCTAAAGGTATTGTGGTCAATACCATGCTTCTTGAAAAAGCATCCGAAGCTAAAGACATTAATTATTTTTATTTTTATTCTTCTCATATTATTTCACAATAATTTTCATTATATGTATAATCTATTTACTTTTATTATCTTATTAAAACAATGTATATACTCCATTCTCTCTCTAACACATATGGTTCTATATTTTATTAGTTTCCTTTTTCAATTTTACATTTCTTCTTATACTATTTCAATATTACTTGATTGTTTTATCACTGTCAATAAAAATTGAAAAATTATTAGAACATTAATCAATATCGATAATTATAATCTAAGAATTATCTGTAATTTTAATATTTATACAATCGATGTTTTATTTAATTATTTATTTTGAGATAGATATCAATTGAAGTTATCAATTCATATTCATCAATGAAAGAACATTATCATTTCTTTAATTTTCCAATTCAAGCATTATTCAGTTTAAATATAAGTAAGTAATTTAACCGAAATGAAAATAAATAAAATAATAATTTCAATTTTCAAATTCTCATTCTTATCTACAACATTTTGAAAATACAATATTATAGTAAGATTAATAAGATAAATCTCTCTGATTATTTAATAAATGAATTGAATAATATTAAATTTTAAAATTCGTTCGATAATATTATTAAAATCAAACAATCATTTATGTGATAATGACGATTGCACTGATAATTTTGGAAATCAATATTTCAGCAATTCCTAAATTTTCAGTGATAGGGGATTTGTTGTTATGGGTTTATGCAGTGTCACATTCAGTACATGTAGAACTGATAGGATTCCATTTATAAAGTTCTAAGGAATACAATAAACAAGTATGTTCAGTCAAAGATTTAACATCAAAATTGATGCACTAAAATGAAACAAATCTACAAATATTATAAGACTACCAATCCCAACTAAGATAATGTGAACATTCACCATTTTAATTTTCATAAGAAGAACATGTATGTTCTTTACATAGACTTGGTTAATTAAGGTTTTAAGGTTACCAATAACATCTATCATTAGCTTATTGACATGCAATTTAATCATTGTTAGCAGAACTACATCCATTCATTAAATGACATTAATTAGATGAAGAATCCCAATAACATAGGCCATCCAATCCAAAAGAATTACATGAAATTTGATTTTTATATTCAGAACAATTTCTTTTTGGAATACATTTGATTCCATCTGAAATACAATTATCAACTTCTTCACAATGTGAACTTATATCTTAACATGTTTTTTATCTACAATTTTATAATTTCCAAATACATGATCCTTCCATACCCAATGCATAATTACATAAATTTTCATTATGATAATCAGCACACATCATTTTATTAATACATTTCTCTCCATCAGAAGTACACGATTATAATGCATTTTAACATTCATCTTTATTCTTATACTTCATATCTTTACAATCTTCGTTTCTACATATTTTATATTCATCATCCCAAATACAATTACCTGTTGAAATTACTTAATTTCTTTCATTTCTCTAAATACCTTCATTATTAAAATGACATGCTTCTTCAATATAATAATCACAAGAAGCTAATGATCTACAACCTGTGATTCCATTTGTAGTACAATGTGGATTAGCTCTTTAGCATTCTTAATGACTTAAATAAAATGCTTGATTGCAATTTAAAAACACTTAACATTTTGGTTATTCTAATACTCCTAATGCTGTTATTGATTGAATACACATTCCTTCTATTCCTGTTACACATCCTCCATTAATATTTGTTTCTTAACATCTACTTATTGCAACACACTCTTAACCATTAGTGGTACAATAATTTGATATCAATTTGCATTCTTTATCTGTTTTCCATTTCATACTTTAACAAGAATTGTATTAAAAACATTTACCTCCTTTATTTGAATAATTATCAATCCATAAACACGGACCATCTTATCCTAAAATACATTCGTATTTATTTTCTATTTTATTACAATATTTCAATCTCACACAATATCCATCTAATCCTATTGTACAACTCTTGCTTTATTATTAACATTCTTAAAATGAATTGCTATATATGTCATTACATTCTTTTTATTTACATACTTTATCATTTTCATTCCAAAAACATTCATTCCCATCAATATCTACAGTGCATGATTCTTATGTCTATTAATTTCTACAACTAGTTTTTATTTTACATCCTCCATTTATATTAGAAGTACAAATTACACCATCCTTTGAATTAAAATATTCTTAACATTACTTTTCACTTAATATTTATTAAGGAGCTGTATCACAACTCTTTAAAACGCATTTATTTTATGATATCCATTCACATTCTGCATTATAAGAATCTTTTATACAATTCTGTTAATTCAGAATACTTGAACATGTAGTTATCTTTATACATTTCTCCTCTTAATAATTCCAAAAACATCTATTACCAATTGAGTCTGTCTTGCAACCTGCTTCATTATCTATTTAAAAACACATTGCATTTTTTCTACAACCTCCTCCTTTTTTAGTAATACATTAATTATTAGGCAAATAAGATTCACATTCTTAATTTGTAACTAATGTTAAAGGAGCATTCCAACAAGTTTTCTCAATACAACCACTTTTATTAATATTCCCTGTACATAAAAACAAAAATTATTGACATTATTCTAAACCATTATAATTATCTCCAGCATGTTAACACTCTTTTCTTATACAATGATTATCTTTCCATATACAATCATTATATTCACCATCTTTAAAGCAATATTATTCTGAAGGTGCAAATTCACAACCATAATTACTAATACAGCCATGACCAGTTGTGATACAAATCTAATG